TCTATTAATAATTTAAATCATAGTGAGGGTCTGGTGGTGAAGTTTTACTGTTGGCTGAACTGGATGTGACAGCAATTAGGTGATCCGCATAGATAATCAGCGTCCTCAAATATCTTTTCTTACCATATCCTTACTTGCCTTAAGGAAGTCCGATGCACAAACAAGATCAAATCTTGATGTGACAAATCGATTGTGTAACAGTGGGCTTAAGTATGTGTACTTTGAACTCTTTAGTTATACAACGTCTGTTTTAAGTATCTCATGAAGATTTCGAATTCTAGGGTATGAAAAGGGCAGAAGCACCAACTACTCTCATGCTCCTGTCATGATACAAAGCAATATGACCATAAGTTGCCTTTCACAGCATTGCATATGCTTTAGCCTTTACTATCTATTCCTGATTTCATCACATAAGCCACAGCAGTTCCCTTCCTTTAACAGATAAGAATAGGTTGTTGGAGAGTCTTGGCAAAGTACTTGAAAATCGATCACAGTGACACAAACAAGTACACGTTTTTTCATCAAAATTTTGAGCATTTTTGCTAACCAACCTTAGATTCCTTTTAATTCTATCTACTATCCACCTTTTACAATGGAAAGCTCAATGAAGCTTTTGAAGTGAAGATAGTAGTAAGACAAGGTTACCGCCTGCTGTTACCGACGATCTTTTTGATTATGTTCAACTGGACTGAATTATGCAAGAAACTGTGAGGAGCGAGACGATGAAAAGACCCAAGAGGATTTCCATCTCGCCCATGATGATGACTTATGTCCAATGTCACACAAACTCGAAGAGCCACACGCGTCATTTACAAGTTGGGAGAAGAGGCGAGGCGAGGCGAACACAGGACACTCTTCAGGTAAACGTAGAGAAGACAGATGTGATTAAGATACCCAACCAACAACAACAACAACAAGATGCACCATCAGTATGATCCACTGCACTGGACTGTTATCAGCATAAAGCGTGAACAGGATGAGCATTTTCAACATTGACTAATTAATGTCAGTCAAGTGAGTCAGTGCTTCTATGTGATAGTTGGGAGACTTGGTGTGTTACGAAAAGCATTTCGAACAAACTACAGACATACATTATCAACAACTGCCACCTACGCTCACTCAATCGATGCTGAAGAATCAGATCATATGACGAGAATGATGGGAATAGGCAAGGAGGAACTCTGACTGACTGGCTGTCAACGAACCAACCAAGAATCCATCACCGAATAAATATGTGGAAGATGAAGGTGGAGATGAACTGGATTGGACACACACTGAGAAGACCATTCGGCGACACCACGCTGCATGCCATGCCAGTCCGTTGAGTGGAATTCGAAATGTGAAACGGCGAGCTGGGTGTCTGAGCTGAGGGTGACATGGAGGAGATCATGTGAGGAAGAAATGAAAGCTTGTGTGCAGTCGTGGAAGTAGGTTCGAAAGACTGGAGTGAAGAAAGTGAATAGGTGACATGCTGTGGAGCCCTATGTTCCACCAGGAACCTAAGGGACAAGTAGGAAAACAATAGTACTATATATCCACCTTTTATTTGCTTGTTACTGTAAAGTGAAGCATCCTGAAGAGATGTTATGCACTTTTTTACCAGGTTCTATGTCAATTTGCCACAGTCTGTTTACGTCCTTTTCTATATATCTACTAGAATAGCTAATTGATAAACTATCAGTAAATAATTCAGCGTATGTCGTCTAAGTCTTCAGCACCACCATCATCATCATCATGGACGCTGACAGTCAACTGTTGTTTGTTTTCTCCATGAATATCACATAAAGACCGTGGATACGCTTAACTTAGTAGAATAGGCTATCAACAAACGTTGGTTCAGGGTTCTATATTCATTACACTTAACAACATAACGATACTGCGTATTATATCCTATTTTAGCCTTGTTAGATTCCCTGATCTACGGAAATGTTGACAGTCATCAATTTTTAGCTAAATATATCTCAGTAGTGTATGATGGTACCTGGCAGTGTAGATTATGAGGCGCTCTCCAACCAACTGAAATCCAAGTTTCCAGTCTGCCCCAAATGTAACCTAACATATTACTATGATGAGTAACACTCCATAGTTTGGACGGAAAAATATAATTTATGCGACTCAACTGGGAAAGCAGTACTGCAATACACGCACATTCAACTGATCAGCATGAAACAATGCAATAGTTGGTGTAGGAGGCCACAGTTCACCAGTAATGAATCAATTCTATCCAATAAATTCACACTCAATGAATTAAAGGTGTTAGCAAAGTAAAAAGGGCAAAAATTGTTTTATAGAGGCTTCACTTCAAAGATATTTATTTATAACACCATTAGTTAATGGGAAATTTTCTACTGTTTTAAACCAGTAACAATAATTTATTCAGTGGATGGTGAACCAATAGAGATTAGTTCTGGAAAGCTCAGGAAATTTCCATAGCCTGTGATTACCTTAATTTTATGATTGAGTAAAACTCTACGATTGACTTTGAAGGCAGTGACTCTGAAGGTCATCCTAACAAGTGAAATGACTAATTAGAGTCTCATAGTTTGTGGAGTTTACACAGTCGAAAGATAAAACTTTATTCGGTGTTTCAATCGTTTCTAGAGTGATATTTAACCATTTCTCTTAAGACCATAGTAAGAACTACTGAAGTAGTCAATGAGATTACTTTATTTCATGGAAAAAGTCACTATTCAGCTAACGAACGAAAGTATAATCTTACACCTATGATATGGTTGTGATATGTGAATGATACATTTACTCCATTGAAATGGGAACATATCAAAATTTTCCTCATGTATATAAATTCAGTCATGGACGCAAATCAATTCTCTTACGAGGTAGGAAATTAACAAGGAGAATTACCTATGTTAGATCGCAGAGTAAAACGAAGTACAAACGGTGGTTTGCATACTACCGTCTACAGGAAACCGACACATACTAACAAGTATCTAGACTTCAAATCACCTCATCCAATGTCAGTTAACGCTCGTTTTTAGTCAAATGTCTAAATGATAAGGCTAAAACACTCAATAGTCAATGCATGGACTTAAAGGAATTAAACACAAACGAATCTTTAATAATTAATAATTATCCTGAACCCTTTATTAAGAAATTAGTATGAACAAATAAGAAACGATATAATAACAATGATACGAATACAAATAATTGGGACAACAATAGTAGAAGGGAGTTCACAACCTCCATTGTGTTAACCATAACAGGGGTATATCAGAAACTTTACGTAGGATCCCCAACAAAGCTAAGATGAGAGTGGCAATTAAACCTACAAACTCACTCAGAGATAAGCTTCGTCGGCTTAAGGATCCGATAGAACCAATTCAGCAAAAATAATCTAATCTATCAAATTCCTCGTAATGACTCCAAGGTGAAGTACGTAGATCAAATCAGCTGGTCGGGGTCAGTTAGATTATGGGAAACATAGAAATTTAACTAAATACAGAACGACTCACCCGAATAATTTAGAAAAACACTCAGCTATTGCAATGGATGTAATAATACACAGCCATACAATAGAGTGGATGGGATAAAACTACTGTACTTAACTAGAATATAATTAGGTGGAGAGAAAGATTACTGATTACTGAATCTTTTTTTATCGCTTCAACACCCAACACATGTAATAGAAATGACGCAACACCTATACCAGAGATATGAAAATTCTTACTACCAATAGAAACAAAGAATAATAGGTGACAGGACTATAAAAATCATATGTCGAAAGTGGTGTGATTACACTGATAATTTATGCTCAAAACGTCGTCATCAAGTAAATAATACTATATCATTGTGTGTTATAAATCAAATAAACAAATCTAATATGGAATTAAATTCACTCCATCTACAATATTTTTGAACGAAATAATTATTCCATTTGAATAATCTTCATTTTTCAAGATTTCAAGCAGTTTCCTTATGTACTTCTTTGGTACCATTTGTTTTCAATGTGGTTTTTTATCAAGATAATAATGATAACAGTTAAAGATTGTTTCAAGTTGTTATTCATCGTAGACTGACATCCGTTGGAGGAACAAAGGAAACCTGAGAGCACTGGACAGCTGTTTCGTCCTAGCATGGGACTCCTCAGCAGTGCGCACGCACGACTCCACACCAACAGAGATCGAACCCGCCACCTTCAGGTTCCGCGGCCAGAGCGTTGCCATTGAGCCACTGGGTCAGAATCCACTTGTCCATATTTCCAACTTCTGTTAGCTCACGATATGCCACAACCGCCACCCAATGTCATCGTTGAGTATCTGTCCTCATGGCCATAAGGCTTTGACTCCACTGGTCACGACTTCTCATTGGAATTGTTTGCTTGGTTGATCCGAAGTTCAAAGTCAACTTTATTATCTAAATCATTTTGAGTTTCTGAAGTATGACAAAATTTCGGATCCAGAAATAATACCTACATTTGTATGACAGTTAAAAATACCATGAAGTAATTGAATAGGGATTTTTCCAGTGCTTCTAAACATTGAGAATGTATGTCTGTTGGCCTAAGATATCTCATCAACTTTAGTTTAACATTTTCTAATCAACTTTCTGACACCGAGTATCCCTGCGCACCTCTTAACAGAAAGAGGAATTTTATAGTTACATGATTTGTGGTTAACTAATTGGTTTCAAAATTACTATCAACCCTAAAAATCAGCGATAGATCAGCGGAAAAACTGGCAAAACTGGGAGGTCTTTCAATGCTTTTTTAGGTCTTCTCAGCAGTACTTACCCACTATTCCAAGCGGAATCTAATACAGACCCACCAAGTCTATTGATGAACACTATACCAATAAGTTATCATGCACGATTCTGTGGTCAGTGTGTACCTTCTTTAAATTTGTGAGATAACGCAACCATCATCGAAACTCCTCATTGATTGGTTGTCTCCATGCTCAACCTGTTGATGAAAACTCTACTATTTGTTACTCATCTTCTAAAATTATGCTTATTTCCATTTTGTTTATTTGTTTGTTTTCTAAAAGGTTTTTTTAGAATCTGAATCTACCGAACAAGTCGCCTGGGTTAATATTGGCCGTTTAACTGGAATACGTTCAAGTCATGATGAATTACTTGCTAGAATTGCACTACATCGTGGTGCATTTTATAGTGAAGCATTAGCCAGAAGACAACTAAATCCATCACAATGATACTTTCGGTTCAATGTTATCAATAAATATTTGTTTAAATTGACCTTTATATGTTGACTAATTTTTATTTCCAAATGTTTAATATGGTTTTACAAAAAGTTGACCGGTGTTAAACATGAATTCAGATTCTAACGAATTTGAACTGATAGTCTGTAGACAGGTGTCATGATATTCAGCTAGCTAACTTAACTGACATGACATCTGATGGGATTTCAATTCTGTAGACAGATAAGTTGACCAGACATGTAAAATGTCACCACTCGCTTTCGCTATGTACAATTTATAGGCTACTGGTAAGTGTATCTGCTTTTTGAATTGGAGAGAAGGATTGACAGTTGGGCCCAATCTATTTTGTCCTATCATGCTAATGGGTACTACTATCAAATCACTAGCCACTGTTAGGCTTACGAGTTAATAACAGTTTGACATGTTACTTTGCAATGATTAAAACGAAAACATCTACCCTTCTGAAAATGACATAACCAAGTTTGAGGATCAGTTTAGAGGACAGCGATCTGATACTTCACGATTTATAGATGGACCGTGCACTCGAGACCAAAAATCTTCTACTAACTGCTGACTAAGTCTACTACTTCGAACAAAAGATGTTTATTTTCGAGATGAATGAGGATTTTAATTTAGAAGTAGTGTTCATCATGGACTGATATCAGTTAGGGAACCAATGAAAACCTGGGGGTAATGGACAGCTGTTTCATCCTACTATGGGACTCCACAGTAGCACACACCCACGTCCCAACTAGTGATCAAACTCAGGACCTTCAGATTTCGTGGCGAACGCGTTAACCATTCAGCCACTGGGTCAGTTTTCAGTGGTTAACATAGTGCTCATTATGTATATAGTCCTCATTAATGACTTGCTTCCAGACTGAGATCGCGAAGCTCTAATGAGAAGTCGTGACCTGTAGGGTCAACCAGTTGGAAGTGAAGCGGATGCCAACTGAAGACCTTGGGTGATAGTCACACTAAATCGTGAACTGACAGAAGTTGGAAATTGTGAACCACTGAAAACCAACCCAGTGGCTGAGTGGTTAACGCTTTCGCCGTGGAGCTTGAAGAACCTGAGTCCGATCCTTATCCGGGTCGTGGGTGTGTACTGCTGAGGAGTCCCATACTAGGACAAAACAGCTGACCAGTGCTCCCAGATTTTCAATGGTTCCCCAACTGAAGTCATTCCATGATGAATAATACTTCTAAGTTTATGCTAAAATCAAATCCTCACATCATCAAATTTGGATTATTTTTTGGAGTTTTCATCGTTTACCTTCGCCACTGAAAAAAATTTGTGTTTTGCTTGGTTGAAGCTGTAACTCTTCCCCTTTTGTCACAAATGGAAGACTTGTGCGTACATCGAACCCGGCATTGTCCGATGGCTATTTACGTGAATTATCTCACTCTATAAATACTTATGATTTAGTCATTCCTTTTTTTGTTCAATGCTCTTTTGATATAAGTTCGATCCTTAAGCATAAGATAAAAAAATTTCATATACATCGTTTCCTTTAGGTGCATGATGTTGTGTGTTTCTTTGAACTGCAAAATCCCGTACCTACGAGGAATCCACTAAAAGAGTTGGCAATAAAATGTTAGATTGACCAATGAATCCTATTAAATGTGGTCTACTTGGTTAGGATCTGCGAAACAACAGACATTATTGGCTGTATAGCGAATGCAAACAAGTCATACTGGTGAGGATTCGTTTACTTCTTAGCTATTCAATCTTTGTACCACCTACTTCCGCTTTACCTTAGAATTTTCGACAACTATGAATGTCACTATTTTCATCTTTTGGGTCATACTTCTGTTATTCTACTGTCTTTCGATTAATTTAATGTCAAAGGCAGCACCACTGACACACTCTATGGGTTCAAAGGCTCTGAAATTGGTTGAAAGTTGTTGCTTTAGCTTTCTGAAGTTTGTCAAAAATGTTTTTTGAGGATTTGTGGATATGTCTGTGATGAATACCAACAAAGAACGGATAAACCCTCCCAAACCTTCCAAAGCAATCACTTTCCAGCGCTTATTAGTGATTTGCTTAGACATGAGATGTCCTAAAGTTGTGATGAGAAATCGTGGAGTTTGGTGGAGTAAACTAAGTCAAATATGATGACAGTTACTCAACGACATCATTGGATGAAAGTGGCCCTAAATCATCAACTGACAGAAATAAGAAAAGGTAGAGCATTTTATTTCGATCCAGTGAATTATTAGTGATGTGATCGCTGTGAAATTTTGAAAATCCTGGAATTGATCCCTAATAGAGTCTTGGGTGCGCATTTTTGGGGGGTTTGATACTAGGATGAAACAGGTGTCCCATGTTCAATGATTATCTAAATAAATTTAGTCCATAATCAATTCAAACTGGCAAGTTGTCGAAAATTTTTAGATGACAAAAGATATAAGCGGCTTCTGGAGGTGCAACTTATAAATGGTCTCATTTATAATGTTTCAGCTTTGAGGTAATGACCTTCAATAGTTCTCTATGTCTCCTACGCTGAAACATTTACGTCGAGCTTTACACTTTTTGATGCCTAGCTCTCTGTCTATCTGCATGTTAAATGAAACTTCTGATCACGAAAACAGACCGCACAAAGTCAGGCAACTATAAATTATCGATTATCCGGGACAACTTTAAAGGGTACCCTAACAATTGCTAAAACAGCCAATCAGGTTGCGGTGTTTTGTAGAACAGAGAAATGTGATTTGTTGATTTATCAGTTGCTAGGGTGGCCTACAAAGTCACTCATTTATGTGTATATATCAATCCATCTGCTCTTACAGAGCCAAGTTAACAGATTGTTCAATGGAGCTATTGTCTAGAAGAGAGTCTAGAAATCACTGTCCTTCTTTGTTGCAAAAGGGGTAATAGTGGATTCATAAGAAGGGATATAATTGAACACTACATGGAAACGAACCATTCCATCTCAAGAATCTTCCTAGTCAAAATCCTTTATAAAGTGAAAAGAAAGCTTTCACAGGTTAATTTGTCTTCTAATTCTCTGCATCTTCTGACCTTTGATAATCCATATGAAGAAACCTGAGTTTTTCTACATAAAACAGGATTGTTCAGCCTCTTTTCTTCTCATGGTCTTAATTTTGAGTCACTAGGATTACTTCTGTCTTCTTGTACCTTTCAGTTTTTGCTTAATTGACCATTTATCCTTGTCTGTACACTCTTTCTGATCACACTTAAATTTCCAAATACTTTTGTCATGTTAAGCAAATTCTTATTGAAAATAAGTAATCTTTATGCAACTACGGTCACCTCAACTTTTGATTATAATGACTTCATGTCAACTGACACTTCGCATGTTTGTTACCATGTCTGAAAAACTACTGTTAACTATCAGATACAAACAGAAGAAAATACCAGAATAAATTTGTGATTGTCCAACTTCAAGAATGAAATCGTTGAAAAAAGTTGTTCCAGTGAAGTACCTGCTCAGTCTTGTCTTTTAATTACCTTTTTTTTAGTTATCTGAGGTCGCCGTGGCTTGTCAGACTAGTATTTATACTGGATGGTGATTGAAGGTGAACTGAAAATTTGAACCTCAGTCGGATTCGAACAAGTGACCGCTGGGTTCTCGGCTCGATGCTCCACCAACTAGGTTACATGATCTGATGGCTGACCGGATTTTTACTTAACTTCAATCACCATGGGTTTTACCCGACTATTAATTACCTTTTTAGGCTGAAAATACAAACGGTTACACAATTAACTGCTCGTTAGCAAATGATTATTGAAGTCGATTTCTCATACCTTCATGTTATACAACAAAAAATAATCAGTGAAGGGATTTATTCACCAGTACGACAGTTCTGTCAAAAAGCAGACAGTATTTTTCAGGAACATATCAGATACATGGCAAGATGAAATCAATGAACAACTAACATAGAAACAAACGTCAGTATGTGGAATAACTTCCTTTCTTTTCTCAAATGGTGAAGCAAATAATCAGTCGGAACTAATTATGGAGATATATATGCCAGGTCATGGAGATAATGAATGTGTGTTTATTCAGTACCTAGTATTCACACGATCAACTATGACTCTCTGAAGATAGCTAAATGCCTCTGCGATAGTTGCATCCAAATGCGTCAACGTGAAGGAGCTTCACATGGTGTGGTTGTTTATACTCCTGACCAGGAAAACGGGAGCTGGTGTTCACTGTGGTGATTACGGGTCAAGCTTATTTGCGCATCTACGGCGAGCCTCCACATGGCCCCGCTGCATTTTAACACCATCAAAGTTGACTTAGTGGTAAACATGGTCGATGAAATCCATATACGTAGATCAATGGTGCAGGTGTCTAAAGCCTAGAGCCTACAGGCAGTCTGAGTGTAGCCTATGAAATTGAATAATAAGGTGAGACAGAAAATAGTCTCCCAAGAAGGTGAACTGGATCTCTTCTGCAAGATTGCGGAGACTCAGTGAGACGCATTCCAAGCACGTCAGCTGACGTAATAGTGAGTATGGTGAGACAATTCGAATACCCGATGGATGTGAATACGTCGAATACTAACAGATGGGAGGGTCCTGGCATTGTACCGATGAGTTTTGAAGGGGCGTTAAAAGATTACTCTGACAGGAGTGTTCTTTTTCATGTGGATGCGTCACTATGATACTTCTTGCTTGGAAAGGGACCGACCCCACAGGTTTTGGCTTCTGATGTTCAAGCGGACCAGTTCTGGTCTAGAACTTGAAGCTGAGCAGAAAATTGGATCAAAGTTCCTTTTATAGTCAATTAAACGACTTGATCTACCTACACACTGGTCGACATCATCCGAAGAGAGTCAGGACTTTTCAAACATATATTTCGTCCTATTTCACGACTCATCTTCCCTATCCATCATCTTCCACAATACTTGGTCGTAACACGCTTGATGTAACCTATGTAGGCTGTAAGTTCAAGGGTGTTCACCACCAAATAGTCTTTAGTTGAGGTGTAACAGCTGTTCGTCTATCTTTGGTTTTCCTGTTCAACGAATTTCACTGTTGTCAGTAGTTTTTTAAACAAACACCCCTTGACAGCACGTTATCAGGCAAACTGATTTAAAACTTTCCAGAATTTAGGCTTTTATCTAAAGTCACATTTTATGGTCGTACACTGACATCCGTATGCTAACGATAGCTGTCTCAAATAGCTTCATAAACACGAATAACTGTTAAATTGAGCATATTTCATAGAATTAGAAAAAGGTAGCGAGTGAAACATCCAAGGACTGACTATTGTATGACCTCATATTGAACGGTTTAACACACTCATCAAGAAAAATTGCATCTAGGTCTCATGGTTATCAACTCTTTTCAGTCATACTGTCTACAACCTCCAGTAAACTGATGTTTTTTCGGAGATCTGTGTTCCCAGGTTAGTCACTACTATAGTTAGAAATACTGTAGTCAGCATGCTTGAGCAACAAGTAGTCGCATGTGAGACTTAACTAAACCAACGGGTGAGTAGTTAGACAGCAAAACAATGCTATGCAGGGTCGTTGTTCAGGTTCTTTCTATCAAGTGTTTTAAGTGACCTGACACCCCAGTTCACTGCATTCGACAACAGATTGTTAGAAGTAGTCTTGCATAAGTAATTACTCTTAAAATTAAGTATCTTTAGAGGTACTAAGGGTGACATTCATAAAAATAGCCGAATTACGATTCCATCGAGTGACATTCCCAATATTTGAGATGGTACACCTTGACAAAACAAAAAAGTATTACACAGGCTCATCCAGATGCTATGTAGAATAAGGCAAAATACTTGTATCAAGTTAAGCAATAAATGTTTTCTAACATAACGTAAAGCTAAAAAGTCTATAAAGCTGTACTAGATAATGTTAAGCCTTCCTGGAGACTGTTCACATTGATCTACAGGTTCCACTCACAATGTCAAAACGATTGAGTCAACAAATAATCACTTTTCTTCTGTTTATATCACAATTCATCATCCTGCCTACTTACATTGGTCAAACCAACTAACATTAATGGGCCAGGACATGTGCAACAAGTTGTGCCTGAGATCACAATCTGTGACTTTGGCTAATTGGATTGTATCCAAAATGGTTTGATCCCATGCCTAAGTAGTTTAAAAGTTCACTGCCGCGATACATTTCCATTTAAATTGTACAGATGGTAAATAATTTGTACTCATTGTATATGACAATGTTAGTGTACGGATAATGAGGAACAGTAGTTTTATGTAAACTTTGCTTTGAAACTGAAGGTGAGATGAAAATTTGGACCACGGTGGTACTCGAACCCGCAGCCACTGGGTTACTGGTCCAATGCTCTACCAATTGAGCTACGGGGCCTGAGTGCTGACCGGATTTTGTTTCACTTCAGTCACCAAGGATTTTTAATGTCAAGGAATTCAATGGAATAGAAAAACACATGTGATAATCAAATCACTGATGCGTACTGCTCTGAGTCGTAATCGCCAACATATTTGTAGGCTGTTGAGCTGAGAGTGGAAAACAACTGATGAATTATCTCTTTTAATAGCTCTATTGGCTGAAACTGACTGTTATGTTAGGCACTAAGAAGTTCTAAATAATGATGATTACTAATTGCTAAGTACTTAGAAAATATTTTAAACGTCAGATACCAGTGAGAACGAGATCACTGTGGTTCAGCAGATTGATACAGTGTGACGACTGAAGGAAAGTGAGATACTCAGGATTCGAACCAGACGCCTGGTCAGATATCAGTTAGTTTCACTGACTAATCACTGGAGAGTAACCATTCTCATGTTGTCGAGTTCTGAGTGTTGACCGAATTCCATTAATCATTTTAAAATGTGACCACCAAGCTGAGAGACTCACCACCATGGTTCATTTCTATGGATGCTGGTGGCCACACTGCAAAATGACCGATAGAATTCGAGAAACACTCAGAACTAGACAATATGAAAATGTTTGCTCTCTAGTGGTCAATCAATGTACCTAAGCCAGTCCTACAGGAAATCAGTCACTGGGGACGTCAGTTGCCTCGAGGTTGCAGATACTCCGTGGAAGCTAGGTGCCTTCAACCAACTATCACCAATTAGTTCCATTAGCATCCATATCTGAAGAGTTACAGTACATATTAAAAGAAACAAGTAATAGTAAGTGGGTTGCATTCTGAAAACCGAATTACTTAAAAATAATCTTGAGTTTGAAAGAAAACCAAATCTGTTTACTAAAAATCATAAGGTTAGTATTCATCATGGACTGACATCAGTTGCAGAATCGTTGGAAACTTGGGAGCACTGGACAACTGTTTCGTCCTAGTATGGAACTCCTCAGCAATGCGCACCCATGACCCCTCACCCTCAAGGATGGTACCCACGACCTTCAGGTTGCGCGATCAACACGTTACTATGATGAATACCAACTAGGATGATGCTGCTATTTAGTGCTCCCAGGTATCCAATGATCTTACAACTGATATCAGTCAATGATGAATACCAACTTGGGTGGGTCACCAAATCCCTACAAATCCTGAGATTCAAAAATCATAAAGATATATCGCTAGAACTTTTTGGTTTAGTCTTTCTCATACATTTTCTTATCGGGACAATATTTCTTTGAATCAAATTCTGTAGCGTAAAATATATACTTTTATTAGGTCGAAATATACATGATGTAAAGGTTCCATGTCCAAAGTGGTACATACAGTTGTTGTTTTTAGTAACAACTAAGGATGGCTAAAACGAAAAGTCGTTTATTTTACAATTTTGTTCCTTCTCTTCTTTTTCTTCTTCTAAGGATAAGTAAAGCAACATGCTTATTGATAACAGTGATGATGTTGTTGAGGAACTGATTCTCTGTTGTTCAATATTCAATTTGTGTTCATTCATTCCATTGACATTTGAATTGAGACAAACTTTTGTATTGTTTTATGATTGTTGATTTTGTGAAGTGCATACTTCATAACACGTCAATTTATATCTTAACCAAATAAAAATTACTACAATAGGGATATTTAAAGCAGCATCTAGAATAAATATGAAAGATGAATAGAATGTTAATGAATTATTATAAATCAGTGTGAATAGCCCGCTACCGATAAGATTAGCCAATGTTTCAAGGATAGAAATTAACGCAAAACTTGCATTGATCTCATCGCTATTAACAAGTTTACTGATAAGTGAACGTGTACATGAAGTGATAAAGCAAGCTGATGAACCAATCACAGCACTGATAAATATTCCAATTGTATTCTTTAATAAGCCAGTAATGAGGAGACGTACTATCTCTGTAGTTAAACCAAATAATATTAAAGTTGTATCGCGGAAAGCGAATTTCCTCTCTAATATTGGCAATAGAATTATCAATTGAATAAACATTAGAGTATAATAACAAGACTGATAATAAGCGTAGAGTTCTGCACTCCATAGTAATGATGATTCATTAGTCAGGTATAAAAGCATGACATCTTGTTCACCAGATTTTGCCATTTGTTTGAATAGAATAGTACCAAGTAGTGTGAGGAGATAAACGCGTTTATTGTTGTCACGTTCTTTAAATAAAAATATGTATGAAGATTTCAAGGTGATGAATGGTTTGACCATCTCAAAGAATATCCTTTTACCACATGGCGTATGCTGTTCATAATCACTTGGAGATTCTTTTTTACCATCATTCTTCCCAGGATTACAATCCCCAGGAAAATGAGTTTCGTTTCCATATGACCATTTGAACTTTTTGGATTGTGCAGGAGATTTCCGTGTGGGCAGAGTCGATGACGGTAAAGAGGAGGAACAGGAAGAGACAGCCACCTCGGAAATAGCCTTCAGAGTAGTTGATGACTGTTTTGAAGCAGTAGATGAGGTTGTTGTGTCATTCTCTTTAGAATAACCCACTGAGAATACTAAAATAATAGTGAATACATCTCCAATGATAACGAATAAAATTAGTTCAAAGTAATTAGAGAATCGATAGAATACTCCAAGAAGTAAAGTACCTAGTGATAATCCAAAAAAATTCATTCCTAATAATCGTGCAAGCATACATGTACGATCCTGTATAATACTGTTCTTAGAAATATAACTATTCGCTCCCATGCTGAATGCACTACTCTTACCGCATGTACCATATAATGTGGCTCCGATCAAAGTTAAAATAATTGTATCTGGGATTAACTTCAATTCCGGTGATAAACCAGCAATGAAAAATGAACAAGCCAGTATCGAACCTATGCATGGAACTAGCATAATGAACTTATGACTGATTTTATGCGCTAATGAACCATAGAAAAAACATGATATCATTGCTGGTATATTCAAGAGAATTCGATAGATTAAGAGGTAGATTCCAGTTAGATATTGTATTTTAATTTGTATAAGATCCTGTGTATATTCAGTAGAGTCTTCATTTATCCTAGTTATATTTGAATAATTCTGAGCTTGACTATTCTCAACAATATTAATGGATTCATTTTTCTTTTTATAATGACATAAATGATGAGTAGATTGATTCAATTGACTTGTCAACGCCTTACATACAGTAGAACTGATATTTATACGATTTCCATATTGTAGTAAAGATTCTGTTATCCTGTAGACAAGAAAGCAGCATATCACAAGATTTATTGAAATAGACTGTCGATATTTAATCAGAACATTTTGCATTCTTGCTTCTTTAGTTCAAGCCAATGACAAAATGAGAACAGTTACAATCAAACTGTCCAGTAGAGTTTCAAACAGCATAGATAAGAACTTTTATACCACTATGATGTCAAAAATCGTCTTGATTTATGATATACAAGCCTAATTGGTTCATAATTATCATAACTTTGTTTTTAGAGCAAATGTGACAAAATATCACATGTCTGAATAATATCAGAAGATTCATTGAAATGGACTGTTGATATTCAATAAGAGAGCAAGATGAAGAGGTACTTTAAAGGCCACACCAGCAATGATCGAAGTAACCAATTAGATTTCTTGATTTTGGCTGAAAAGAGAGCTTCTCGTAAAATAAAGAAGTCTAACTGGTTATTTCATTTATTGCTGAAGTGCCCTTTAAAATCACCTCAAAATGAGCACAGGTAGATTTGGGTGACTGTTACAACAACCAATTACGAAGTGACTTTAAAGGTCAACCTTGCAACAAATGAAATAACCAATTAAACTCCTATATTTTATGATAACCTGCCTTTCCTGCAGAAAAGGCGAAACCTAATTGGTTATTTTGACCGTCGGTAGGGGTGACCATTAAGGCCACAACAACTACGGCTATTTTATTTTAAAACCTAACCTCCTAGACAAAATACCGAGATCTGATTGGCTGTTCCAACAGTTGTTAGGATGGCCTTTAAATTCGGAATACTGTAGAAGCCACCCTAGCAACTACTGAAACAACCAATTACATTCCTGCATTTCATGGAAAAGTACTTTTCTAGGGGAAATTATTTATTTTATTTATTAATCCCTTGGGTTCTTAGTGGAACATACGGCTTCAGTAGCACGCCTCCAGTGACCTCTGTTCTCTGAGATGTTTTGAACCTGGTTCCACGACAGCCGAGAAACTCTCATTTCCTCCTCGCATGATCTCCTCCATGTCACCCTCGCCACGGACGTCCAGCTCGTCGCTTCCCATGGGGATTCCACTCGAGTGACTGGCCTGACGCGTCATGTCCTCAGTCGGCCTTCTCAGTGCATGCTCAATCCATCTCCACTTCCTCCTGCATATTTGTTGGATGATAGCTTCTTAGTTGGTTCGTTCCCTAAGTTCCTTGTTGCTTATTCTTTCTGGCAATCCATCTGATCTTCAGTAGCGAGTCAGCATAGGCGGCAGTTGTTGATGAATGTCTGTAGTTTATTGGAAATCCCTTTCGTGACGCGCCAAGTTTCTGAACCATACAGAAGCACTGACTTAACGTTGGTGTTGAAAATCAGGATCTTGTTCCACATGCTGAGTGCAGAAGATCTCCACACTGGTTTCAGACTAATGAACGCCTGTCTTGCTGTCTTTCCAATCCTGGCTTTGATATCCTCGTCTGTGCCTGTGTCGCCTGTAGTTCAAACAGTGCTTCCTAGATAGGTGAAGGAAGTTACTTCCTTTAAGTTTCTCCCGTTGATAGTGACTGGAGTTTGTTGTTGTTGGAGTTGTTGGTGCGGTATCTTCATCACCTCTGTCTTCTCTACGTCCACTTGAAGTGCCGTCTTCGCTGCCCTGCTTCGCCTCTTCTGTCAACTTGTTAGTTTTTGCCTGTAGATCTCCAAGTTTATGTGACATCAGGCACAAGTCATCGGTGAAATCCAAGTCTTCTAGGTTCTTTTCCGCGGTCAAACAGCGTATCCCCCTCTTCTCGCTCCTCACTGTTTGCTGCATGATCCAGTCCACCACAATCAGGAATATCATGGAGGATAGTAGGCAACCTTGTTTCACTCCTGTCTTCACTTCAAAGGCATCACTGAGCTTCCCATTGTGAATTACTTTGCTTGTGGCGTCTTCATATAGTTGCTGAATGAGGCTGAGAATGGTTTGCGGTACTCTGTAGTAATGAAGCAGTTTCCAAATTACTTCTCGGTCGAAGCTGTCAAAGGCCTTTTCAAAGTCGATAAAGTTGAGTTAGAGTATTGACTGCCATTCTTTACCCTGTTCTATGACGATGCGAAGCGTTGCAATTTGGTCCACACATGATTTCTACTTCCTGAAGCCTGCCTGTTCCGGTCGTGGTTTCGAATCCAGTGCATCCTTAAGCCTCTCCAGGATGATGCGGCTTAATATTTTACTTGAGGTGGACAAGTGGCGTGATTCGGCGCCAGTTCTTGCAAACACTGAGGCCTCCCTTCTTCGGGAGTTTGACTAGGTAACCCTTCTTCCAATCAATGGGCAGATACCTTCCCTTCCTTCCACACCTTCTGCAATAGTGGTATGGTGTGAGCATGTCCGCTGTTGTCTCTGCGTGTGTTCTCAGTGCTTGTAGTGGGATCCCGTCTGGTCCTGCTGCTTTCCCACATTTCAGTAGCTTTATGGCGTTCAGGACTTCCATTTTCGTTGGAGGATTTATGTTCACTTGTAGTTCAGCGGCTGCAGGTGGTATTTCTGGACGAAGTGCAGGTGGTGGTGGTGGTGATGGTCGATTCAAGAGCTTTTTGAAGTGGTCAACCCATCGTTTCCTTTGTTTCTCTTCTTTGGTGATTATATTTCCTTCATCATGTTTTATTGGTTTCATGTGCACTGTGTTGATCTCTTGTTTCGGAGACAGCAGGTAACCTGGTTATTTGATACAATGTCGTCAGGTCTCTCTTACCTGCAGCCTGTTCTGCTTCACTTGCCAGTGTTTATTAGAAGTGTCTTTTGTCTTTGCGTACACTTTTCTTCACTTCTTTGTCCAGTGTAGTGTTTTAAACATTGTGCTCAGTTCCTCTTGTCGTTGAGCATCCATGCACTGGTTTATCTTCTGCTTCACCATCCTCCTCTCCTCTATCAGCTTCCAGGTATCCGTCGAGATCCATTCCTTGTCTTCTTTCTTCTTCCTTCCTAATACGGCTGTGCAGGTTTCTTTCCACATAGCTTTCAAAGACTTCCAGTGTTCTTCCACACAGGTTTCTTCACGGATGTCCCTCGACGTCTCCCATTTTGTCTTGATGGCTGCTTTGAAGATCTCCTTTGTAGTTTCATCCTTCAGTTTCCGAGTGTTGTACTTGAATTGAGGTCTATCACCAGCTTCCTTGAAGGCTTTCAACTTGATTTGGAAGGTTCCTTGCACGAGATGGTGAGTGGTCTGAACCTACATCTGCTCCTCTTCTTGACCTTGTGTTGAGTAGACTGCGTCTCCATTTTCTTGAGATTGAGATGAAGTCGATCTGATTTTTAGTGTGTCCATCTGGTGAATGCTGAAATCCATGTCGCTTTGTGGATATCCTTGTGCTTGAACACAGTGCCTTACCCCAATCACCGAATAGTTGAATGCACAGAATTCTGCAAACAATTCTCCATTCTCGTTCATCACCTCACCGAGTGCTTCTCGACCCATGGTTAGTTCTCTTCCTGTGTTGTCCCCTCCCAGTTTGGCATTCATGTCGCCCATTAGAATTTTGATATCGCCAACTGACGTCTTGTCCAGTGTTGATTGAAGTTGTCTGTAGAATTCCTCCTTTTTCTCTTCATCTGCATTATTTGTAGGCGCATAGCATTGTATGATTGTGACCTTTCTTCCCTTTGAGTTGAACCTTGCTGTCATGATCCTGCATGAGGAGATTGGTTCCCACTGTATGAGAAAGAGCCTTCGATGTTCTTGGAAGGGGGACATCATGATAGCCACTCCAAAGCTCAGTGTGCTCGTGGTTGTCGTTTGGGTGACCGGAGTAGATTATTGATTCTCCAGTTGACAGTTTGGAGAGTCCACTCCCATTCCATCTGCTTTCGCAAATTCCAAGCACTTCAATGTGATACCTCCTCATCTCTTTTGCAATCTGGGCTGCCTTGCTAGGTTCAAACATGGTATGGACATTCCATGTCCCCACGTTTACTTTCGCTTTCATCGAGAGAAGACACATCGGCCAATTGGCTTGCTGAAGGCTTTCACCACCCGGCGTCATTTCGCCTCTCCGATTCCAGGGAGGAATAATTTTGTTTTTATTTTTTATATTTTGTTTGTGCTTTGAAGTTTGTTTAGCGGTAAGATTTGTTTTACGGGGTGGTTGCTAGCCCTATGCCCAACCTTCCCTCTTTACCCGGGCTTAGAACTGACTAGTAACTAGTGTGCTAGTTAACCAGGCGAGGTTTTCTAGGGGAAATACAGAAACCTAATTGGCCATTTTAGTGGTTTCTAGGGTGGTCTTAGAGGTCACTGTTAAATTCACCCATACATTGAGTGACTTTAAGGGTGCGTTTATAAATTGCTTTAAAGGCCACCATAGCAACTGCTCAGATGGCCAATTATTGCATTCCTTTATTTTATGGAAAAGTACTTCTCCAGGCAAAATGCCGAAGACAGATTAGTCATTTCCGAAATTGCTTGGGTGGCCTATAAATTTAAGTGACTTCAAAGCCCATCGTAGTAACAACTGAAATAACCAATCAGACTACTCTATTTCATGAAAAATGAATGACTTTAAAGACCACTGTAGAAACTAAGGCGATAACCAATTACTTCTCTATAATTTAAAAAAAATCTCCGTTTCTAGTTGGAATACCGTAACCGGATAGGTTATTTCAGCAGTTGCTAGGGTGGCCTTTAAAGTTACTGTGAAAATTTATCTTTCTACACAAAATGTAGATACCTAATTAGTTATTTTGATCGCTGCTAAGGTAACCTTTATAGTTTCCCCGTTTCTCTATCTTATGGAAAACGATCTTTCGAGCCAGAATACTGAAATCTGATTGGTTATTATACTTGTTGTTAAGGTGGTTATTGAAGTCACACGTTAGATTCAAGCTGTTATAAAAATTGAACTTTTAATTGAGTATACAAAATCATTTGTAGTATTATGAAGTCAAAAAACGTCGCCTAATTCGTTTACAATTATCATAACTTGTTTGTTGTTTTCTACAGCAGACTTGAGTTAATGAAAGTTAATGATTTATATTCATGAAAAAGAGAGAACTCATAGGGATTGCAGTAAAAAAGATGGTTGTGAATGAGGTGAAATTTCCACACCTCAAATTAGTTCAATAA